CGTTAATAAATTATTTTGTTACATTTTATATACACATTATACGCCACAAATTTGGATAATTTTTATTATAATTTTTTTCTTTTTTGTAAATTAAAATAACTATAACACTTGATGTTTTAAGACAATAAACTAAATAATTTTCAAAAATATGTATGGTAGAATACAGTATAAAATGTTGTTTTTATTTATTTATCAAGTGATTTAAATATTTTATTTTAGATTTCGTAGCAAATCTGTACATAATGGCATGTGAGTTTATCGTTTAGACTTAGTCTCAATATTATAGCATTTTGAAGTTAATAGCTTTCTTTCTCTTTTTACATAGGCTAAATAATGTATTTTTGTCATATAAAGTATGACGAGTAGTTGTGAATTTGAACCGGTAGGCTTTTTTTTCTATTTTTTTTTTTTTCAAAGCTGGTAGGTTTTGTAATAGTTTGTAGTCTAACCTAAGTGAGGAAAACTAAACCATTGCGAGTATGCGTAAAAACACAAAATCGTTAACTTTAAATCACTATAACTTTCTATCTAACAATTTTTTACCAGCATGGATATTTGTGGAGTCATAAATCATTTTTGATTTTTGTAAACATTTCTAACTCAAAAATAAAAATTATTTTTTAAATTATGAATTTTGCAAACAAGTCTATAAGTTTTATATTAAACAATAAAGGGGTCGAAATACTAATAACTTGGGAAGAGATGTTGGTGCTGGGAAAACGCCAAAATGTTTTAATCGTCAACAGGAATTAGATCAAGGGTAGGGAGTCAAACGTTATTCGGTAAAGGGCATACAAACTCATATGAATATTAATTTAAACATAGAATACTTCGAATTGTGTGAATGGTTGTTGGAAAATAAATTCTATTGAAAAATTACAAATTATATACAATCGGTCTATTTATACTAATGCGTTATCAAATTATATTATTTGTAATGCAGTTGAACAAACACATTGAACTTTAAATTTAATACGTATAAAATACATATAGAGTTACAAAGCATTATAAACATCACTTTTGAAATGTTTATTTACAGTGTTAAAAAATAAAACGTTTTTAAAATATAATAAGCGTTAGTTTCGTTTGGATAAAAGAAAAAAATCGTCTCTTTGATATTTAAAAGCATGTGTGCGAGTGTTTGCGTTAGGTGTGGCAGAAGAGTTTTAATTTTTTTTTTCTGCGCACAGATTTTAGATGTGTGTATAAAATTAACTTTATAGCCGGGAACATATTTTCCATTTAGGACGAAGTGACTAGAATCCCAGGATTTACTTGTAAGATTTTTAAATGATTTTTTTTTTCAATCGAGACACGTTACGAAAAAAAAAAAATATATAATAATTATAAAAAAAATTACGACTTTACTTTTACGTACACATTATAACAATATATTGTCATTTTAGTCATGTTTTATATTTGCGAAGCAGCATAATTATCAACATTTTCCAATTATTATTCTTGGATGGTAGGCCTATAGCATATGTAATGCTCTCGGTGCAAGTTGAGCACTTTAATTTATTATAAATACCATAAATATTCCAACGTAATTATTTTTTTTTCATATACAATTAAAAATAAATGGATACGGGAAGGATTTCCTAGTAGGAAATTAACAGTTTTAATTTCCCTGTACATTGAATAAGCGCTATTTATAAATATGTTCAATAATAAGACTTGTAGTATATCTTATTAGAATATTGTTGTGTAACAGATCGATAAAATAATTTTTTTTTTGAAATTAAGCTTTAGACTAGTGAATCTGCTACAAAAGTTTCATTTTAAATCTCTTAAGATCGGAAATTGGTTCAGATTTAATAGCGGTAGGAACTCAAAAGAAGTAATTATTTTTTTCAATTTATTTCCATTATATATTTAAACATTAATATGATGATTGTTTGAAATTATTTTTAGAGTACTACAAGTTATCCATGATTTCATAAATAAATACACACACACACACACACACACACACACACACACACGCGTGCGCGCATACGAGTATATTTGTGGCCTAGTGAAGTGAACAATTGTTGTTGCGTTGTTCTATGATGTCTATGAGAAAAATAGGCTACGGATATTTTCGTAGTGGTATGATTTAAAGTTATAGAAATTACATGAGCTAGTAATAAGTTTTTGATTATGTTTGGAAGAATTTTAGTATTTAAAAGTGTGAATCTGTATTGCCGACCTTGCGTGAGCAGTATTATCTTGATTAGAAAAGTATTTTAGACACCGAAATTTTTTGTAAAAGGCTTCGTTGGTTTCACCGTAAATATTTAATTATTTTATAATTTTTAATTAACTAAATAAAATACTTAAATATTTTAACGAGATTCTATCAACTCGAGTATGTGATATTTCACCGACACGTGAACAATCGATATTAAATTTTGGATAAGAAAATGTAATTATCTCATTTTAAAATTTTAAACTATACATATTTATTTTACAGGTATTATCCGATCTATCGTTTATTATTTATATACATTTAATAAGAAATATCACATTTTGAGTTTCAATTTTAACGATAACATAAATAATCAATTATTTTCCTGTCCATTTTGTATTGAGGATCGATAAGATTTCAAAGGATCGATATCGATTTATGCAAATTAATCAAATGAGTACGTTCTATAACTTAGATGATAACGAATACACATATCGAGAACAAATATGAACCAAATATTAAGATTACTATGCGAATGCTGGCGAATCCTATTCAAATTGAAAGACGGTTTTCTTATCGTACTAGAAGTCAACTTTGCCGAACGCAAGCGAATCCATTTTTTCGCATTAGGTCGGATTATTACAGTTGGTTCATTTGATAGCATTCGTTATCAGTTGTTCGCATTCGGACCATAGGCTAAACGAACGTCGATATATATTCAAATATTCATGTAGAACTATAAATTGTTATAATATGTATAAACTTCAATGTTTCTCGGTGTCAGTGGTGTGGTACGCACTTATACACAAATCTGTATATTAAATTATAACAATATTTAATATTGTATCCATACTCGGTGAGAAAAAGTATAATAAAATGCGATCCTCGTCGTCGTGTCGTTAATGTAACGTGTTGCGCATATGGACCAAATTAGCTGTTGTCATTGAACCTGTGGTGGTTTCATCATGTGCTGATTCCAAAAAACAACTGAACTTTCAAAAGTTTCAAAACACTTCTGAAGATCGAATTATTATTATCGTATTATTATTTACCTACCTCGCACTTCACGCTGACGTAACCAACACGACCGCGACCGTGTGTTTGTTCTTTAGCAGGTAAATAATTAGTGCAGGGAATCAAACATGAGTTTCTATAGCTTACCATTTATATTTATAATTACCTTATATAATTTACTAACTACGCTTATAACTGCCATTTTTAAGCGTGACACATACAGGCAGTGGCGTAGCTAGGATGGATTAACGGGTTATAAACCCTCCCCTCCATTAAAACGTTTCTCTTGTTTTATAAAATATACGATAATTTAAAGACATAGGTATATTGTTATATCATTGTCATCGTTAAACAGTTTTCTCAGTTTAAATAAACTAAATAATGATACATTTTATATTTTAACTTAAGTTAAATCGTCTTATTAAGATAAAATATACGGTACTTATTCAGGATCAAATCAAAAATTTAAATTCCTCCCAAAAAATACTTTTCCGGTTACGCCATACGAAACCCATCGGTTTCCACAGAACGATATATTATTACTAAGGACCGGATTTATATGCAAATGCTTATATGTATAAGAATAAGCTTTTTGAAATCTGATGAGCACTGTCCTCGATTTAGATCTTTCTTATTAAAATAAAACTAATTTTACTTTGCATATTTAGCATATTTCAACGTTTTTACCTATTAAATGCATATTTGTAGTTTTATAGTGCACATTATTATTAATAGCACATATAATTGTTTTTATCGTATTTTCACGTTTACAGCCACATAATATTAATAAAATTTCGATTGGTCGTTATTTCCAAAGATAAGATTATATCTCATACTATAGTCTTATATATGACTAAAAATACAACATACATTTATATATATATCGACTCGACGACAAAATATTTTAAAAGCTTTTTTATACTTTTTTTAATACCGTATTAATTAATACTTATTTTTACATTTATAATACATTTCACATATATGTACATATTTTTAAACAACATTTTAAGTGAATATTTAAGTACATATTTTATAGCATATTACAGCATTTTTAGAAGCATATTTTGAGGATTTTTTGTGCATATAAATCCGGTCCCTACTTATTACACACCTTACGTTTTCTTTTAATGCGCATTAATCGATTTATGAGTTCATAACATTCGTTCTCAAGAGTTTTGAAAGAACCAAATCGATTACGATTTTCGGTTCTCATTCGGAAAATAATCAACCCCGACTCGGGTCGATGTATGACGTGTCTACACGTATAAATGAAAAACGATTGGTTAAATATATTTCAAATCGAAGCGCGTGCGACTGTCTATCCCGTGGTCTCTATTGGGCGCATACAAACTTTCGTGGTACAAAAGCAGAACGATTGCCTAAACTATACGGTCTTTTAAAGTTTTGAAACGGTATTTCGGAATATTTTGTCGAGAAGAACACGTGGTGGTGCACAATCTGATATTTTCTCCGGTGCATGGGAAAACTTTCAACAATGTTCTGTTTTTCCGTTTTTTTTTTTTTTTTTGAAAAGTCGCACTTGGCCGCGGTTCATAAACTACGTTTACGATTCATCGGGTTCGGTTAGGGTTAGGTGATTCGGTCGGGAATTCTTTTCCGAAGGCGCACGGTCATCGGAGTCTCGTCACCAATGACAGTCATGACCGTCATCGCCGCGACCATCGTTTGCGCACCGAACGCTACCGTCGACGCGCCGGGCGAATAATCGATATGCCGTCACGTGCACCGCTAGAACGTGGCACGCACGGCGGCGGTACACGTGGACATCGAACGATAAGCTGCCCGGTACACTCACCTGGACCGGTCGGGGGACGCCGGCTTGGATTCGGGCGAGGCCACTTTCTCCAGGCCCCGGGACAACCTGAGCATTTCGGCGCCGAACTGGTGCAGCGCTGACATGGTGGACGGCGTGGGCTCGGTGTCGGGCAGCCACAGCTCGCGGGTGTCCAGCGACGTCATTTCGGTGTCGGCCGAGCCGACGGACGGGTTGTGCCGGAACGGCGTGCTTCGGCAGCTCGCGGTGGGCGTCACCAGCCGGTGATGGCGGTGAAGGTGTCCGTCGCGCGGGCTGCCGTCCGTGCTGTCGTCACCCGTGCCGTCGTCGTCCGCCGTGGTCGCGACCACTGCGCACCGCGAGCCGGCCGCCAGCGTGCCGTTGCCGTCCTGTTTGACCGCCGCCGCTGCCGTTAGGGCGGTCGACTGCGGTTGGCCCGCTCCCGTCGACACGATCACGCCGGTTAGCTCCTCACCGGTCGCTGACCGCATGTCCGTTTCGTCCGAACGGGTCCTCCGATAGTTCCGGCGCAGGATTCGCCTCCAGCTCCTCCTCGCGTTAGCTGCCAAAACGTCAACACAACTAATCAGTCGTAAAATTCTGTACCGATAATATTATAATACATAGTACGTCTTCAGCACGCGAGCAGCGGTCGTTAAATGGGAAAAAAATAAAAAAATAAATAAAAATATTCCAGACTTAAAATTTATTTAAAAATTTACGATTAAAATTATTTATCATAAATTATTGGCATGTGTGTGTTTGTGTTTATGTGTGTTGTTCAATATTCTATCTATTGTTGCATATATTTGAATGAACTCGATTAATTTGATTGATGCATATGGGTTCCATTCATGGTTATTGTGACTCGCGTTGAGATTGTTGAAATTATTACTTGAAAACAACATGGAACAAAATAATTTAAATTTTTGATTACGAAAAAACTCTTTTCCGGAATCGAAAATATGTTTATAACGTTACACATGTCAAAAAACCATTGAAATCAACAACAAAAAAACCGATAAACTTAAATAATTACCGATTATTGTAAATTATCAATTAACAAACCAATTCAATACAAGAATATTATGGTAAAACAAAACGATTAACGAAAAAGTTGAAAACATAAAACATCAAATACCGTATACAAAGTAATATTGAAAACTTGTTAAAAATTTTCATGTTTTATTTTTTTAATATTATTTTAAGAATACTAAACAAAAAAATCAATAACGTCTAAATCATTTTCTTTTAAAAAATCCGTTTCCTACCACGTATTATTTAAAGCACGTTATAGATTTGAAACAATAGTCTAGGCTGACTAAATCTAATAATTCGCTGATATGCGTTTCCGTGTAGCTAATTGGGTTTGATATTATGTTTCTTTCCCGCAAAAAATAAAAAATAAACAATCCTCTCCGGCTGTCAGCAGTTGAGTAAAACGCTTGGGTGTATTCACATAATACACACATCACTCACGGCGAATTGAAATATCCACTGTTCCGCAGTTTTCTTGTCCGTTGCCCGACATTGCGATTTCCCAACATACCCTTGCCGACCGCGCATAATGTACTGTCCCGTAAAATCTTCTCTTCAATCTTATCGACATTATTCTACCTCTCGGTACACACTCCTGACGTTTCCATCCATTTCACACTATATCGAAACTATTAGCCTCTATTCTTTACGTCCCCCACTCGGAGCCACGATTTTCTTTTATATTTACTACCGTTCTTACGCGCTTGGACCTATCGACCTAAGCCACTACATCATCGTCGTGCAGTCAATTCCAGAGACTTAATAATCGGCCGAGTTAGCTTTAGATCCGTACGGATCGTACGTAAAGACCCATAGACATATTAAACCGTAACCACTGGGGAACGCTCCTGATGTTCGTCATATTTATAGGTATAAGTAGTATTCAGTCAAGAATATTGTCATCATAATATGACAAATCGACCGAACGAAAAATAAATAAACAACTACTGAAGCGTGTCAGTATTATTATTGTTTGAAATTTATATATATATAAATAATAACAATACACCATATATAAATAAAAAAAAAAACAATTTTTCTCCATTTCGAACGAAAGTCCTTACACTTTTCTCGTTTTACACTTTATACGATTTTACAATTTCTCTTCCGTATACAGGGTAAATATTATTCGACTAAATACGTTGATACGATTTCGATCGGATAAAAAAAATTGACATACTGTTGGAAAATATAACTTTATACACCCCACGGATTCAATCCTGTACCACATTCACGTAACCAATAAATGCTTGTATAAGTAGAAACAATCGAGTTGTTTTATTTCAAAATCAGTTAAATATTTGATACATTTTTTGAAACATAGTGGTTGGTAAAATAACTATACATGCTTTCGATATCATTCGAAATAACGATATTGTTTGAAAAAAGTATAATGAAAATAAAAATAATCTCGTAAAATGTAGAAAATTAACCTAAAAATATTCTGCTGAAAAAAAAAAAGGAAAGTATCATAAGTCGGTCGCACAAATATTTAAGCAATATCCAAAGTATATTTATTCAAACATTAGCGATTACACTCAAAATGCATAAGCAAATATTCAAACATGTAAAAAATACCGCTTAAAAACAGTAATAGATCGAGTTCAGCGTCTATTTAATGTACTATTAGTGCGCGAATAATTATTATACGATAAATTGACAATAGCCAGTGGCACCCATAGGTTTTTCCTGAACCAGTAAGTTTATAATTATAGGGCCCTCAAATTTATTTTGGTCATCTATGAGACCATATTCGTTCGATTAAAATATTTTGTTTTCCAAATGCATTTTCAATTACATGTTTACCTTAAATAAATTTAATAATATTGCAAATTCCTGTACGAATTTTTTTTTTTTTTTTGTAATAGGGTTTTGAATTTAAAATTGTACAAAAATATCTTCACCGGTTGGTATTGTCCAGGACAGTTTTTAAAATACAATAACTTATTGATTATTAAACATTTAAAAGATAATAATCACAACATACATAATAGTTTTGATCAGTGATTTTATTTAAGGCATTGAATATTCGTTGACTTGTTTTACAACATTTATCTATTACTTCATCACAATTTATTTCTATACAGTAGTTACAAGACATATTAACACAATAGTATATAAATCTTGGAGCGGCTTTCTGAACTTGACACAAATTACAAACACAATAAACATTATTGTAGTTATCTATATAAGTTATTATATATTTATATTTGTTTGCATATTTGGCACTGCCAATTCATTAAATTTTATTCAATGATAAATGATCCAGATAATATTTATGCATTTGCAGTATTTGCTCCAGAAAACAAAATGGAATCCTCAAATATTTGTATGTCACGGGACCTACGAGAAATCAGTGAAATTGCACCACTTGGTATCCTACGTGGGCGCCACTGAAAAGAGCACATATTATTGTGATAGGTAAACTACTACATGTATGAAGTCAATCCCATAAAGTTGATTTGTACACTCTAAATCAATGCTAATATCTAGCAAATCGACTGCAAAGAGTCACAAAACTAGTTCTTATGGTTTGAAAATTAATTCTTTAATTTCGGTACAAATTTTGCAAACTTTCGGTCGAATAATTCGCTATAATTTGAGATTGGATTTAAAAATTTGAAAAATAAATTCATTTGCAAAATATTGAAATTGATTTCGAGTAGATCAGTCAACTTTTTGAACATGGGTAAGCTAAAATATATTACACTTTCTCTTAGCCCCCGTGGTCGGAATATTACAACCAAATGCGGGGAATCATAATTATAATATATACTCTAGATCGCTATGGGTTGTACATGCATAGGACGAATCTCATAAAAGTTTTTCGAGTTTTGAAAGTATTTCCGTGTTTTTTTTTTCGCAGACTCTGTGTCCTCCTATTTGGTCGATTTAAAACTTACCCGTACTCAGTTTAACAACCGCTGCAACTCCAACGGAAGTGGATGATTAGCATTAGTATTGCAGTTCAAAGTTTTTTAGCGTCCGGTTAGGTATGCGATTCCCATACCACCGACAAACGCAAACCTACCTACCCACCCGAAAACTGTTTTATCAAGATTTGGACCGATGTAGTTGATACAACGAAAGTTTCCATCCACCGGCTGTATCCATTAATATTTATATTGACTAAGCGCACACATGCGTTTAGTGTGCGCAAATTTGAAGTGCTCGACAAACCACAAAGTGGATAACAATCACACGATAAGCGTATGCGTACATTTTTTTTGAAACAACGAAAATTCAGACGGATAACTTAATTTTAATAATGATGTATTTATTTTTTTTAGCAACGGGATTTTGTTAACAATTGTTATCGCATTTGCTGTCTTTGACAACAATAGGTTTTACTCTTAAATTTAGATTAAAAAATGAGAATCAACATAGAGAATTGGTCTAATATTCGAGTATAATTACAGATTTTTCGTCGAATGCATCAAGTATACGAAAACGTGTTAAAGGTTATTATTTCAAGTGCGGGAAAAATCAAATCTGTAGAAGCTTAGGAAGTCTAAATCAATTTTAATAATAATATGTTTTTTTTCTGCATTATTCTAAATAAACAAAAATCTATTTCCCCTTTTTTTTTGCTGTTTAACTGTTATATAAGATAAATATTATAAAATTTTCATGATTTTTATTCAAATCGATTTATGGATTACTATTTTTAAATAAAAGTTAATGATAATGTATATAAAAGCGAAGTAAATTAAATTTTTTTTTTAAAAAAAATTATACTTTAATTGTATAGTACGATTGTGTAAGGATTATAAAAATAAAAATACCACTTAAATTAATAACTTTAAATCCATATTTGCTTTTATCGTCACCCCGTTTTTAGGTTTTACATAAAAACAATAAAAATAAATTAAATTTTTCATCAAAAATTTCAGACAAAAATGAATAATTTGTTATAATAACGAAGAAGCTCATAATGACAATGTGTTCAATTTTGTATAGTCAATTATTTCGTGCTCAATATTAAAAATTAATTAAATAATAGTAAAACGATTTCAATTTTACCTACATGCTATTTAATTATTACCTACTGTGGTAATCTAATTCAAAGATATTATGCATAAGATAGTTTGCATTTATTTATTGTGTTAGTATTATAAATAAAGGATTGAGGTGATGAGGAAATTAAAAAATAATAATACAGATTGTTTCTGTGTACCGATCGGCGTGAACAATTTGAAACTTTTCCTTTTTTATTTATTTAGAATTTTTTATTTTCACCAATTTAAAAATTTTTAATATGATAAAAAAACCAATCACTTAAAATTAATAAAATAAAATCATAGTTAACGCACTCGTATAGCAACATTTTCTTTTTTAATTATTTTTTTATCACATTTTTTGTTGTGCAAACCTTATCATAATATTTTTGTAAGTCTATTGATATACTATAAGATAAAATAAGTTTTTTCAGTATAGCGAAATTCAATATATGTGTATCCTATAAATGGAAATTTACAAATTAATCAGCTCAATTTAGCACATAAATGTATAACAAAAAAGGAC